TCCTATGTCTTTTTATTTTGTATTCTACAATCACATACTGTTATTTAACACCTACAGTTACAACTGTATTTCGATACAGTTTTATCCTGATTATAAATGTTTCCATTGTAGAAAATTTGGGAAAAAAGGGAAAAATACAGAAATCACATACTGTTATTTAACACCTACAGTTACAACTGTATTTCGATACACTTTTATCCTGATTATAAATGTTTCCATTGTAGAAAATTTGGGAAAAAAGGGAAAAATACAGAACAAGAGAATCACTCAACCATCTCCACGAGTCACTATTAGCATTTTGTCATATTTTCTTTCAGTCTTTCTTCTATGCTTCTACTTTTTAGGTAGATAGTAGGCATCACCTACATAATTCATACAATTTTATTACTTAACTTAGTACTATAATAATTTATAATTCTTTATAATTATTAAAAATTCTTTTCAAAGATCATTTTAGTGGCTATGTAATATTTTATAGCATGGCATCACCATTAATTATATTTCTGTTGCTAGACATCTAAATTGTGGTGTTTCTTTTTGGTTTTGTTTTGGAATTATAAATAAAGCTCCATGCACACTTCAGTGCTTAAAGCTGTTTCTGAATCTTGGGTTTTCACTATGTCTTTGCTCTCTTCACTTACTTACATAAGGTTCTACGGGAGGCCACAGGGACATGAAGATCTCAAGGCCAAGCCTTCAGTGTCCAGAGGAAGGAGACACAAGACCCTTTGATGGATCACTGACATAGCAGAATTAAACACTGTGAAAATTAGGAATATTCCTTATCATATACAAAAGGACTGCACTGATGTGCACCCTCACCAGGATCTAAGGATGCTGATTTCACATCATTCATACCCGCAGTAGATAATTTTAAAAATATGTTTTAAATGCTGGTCCCTTGTCTCTCTGTCTGAACTCCCCACCCCCACACGCCAGACAGGGCTGAGGCAAACTTGGGGAGGGAGTGCAGGACACGGGGGCTGGCGCGGCTGAATCTGAGCTGACCAGCGAGCAAGGTGCATGGGATCTGTCTGAAAATAGGGACAAGGTTGGGACCAGAAGACGCAAATTAGTCACCAGATCCAGGGTGCACGGGAGGCCCCAGTCGCTGGGGTTGAGCCTAGAATCAGCAGATAAACTGGGGACATTTGATCTCAGCCTGGGCTGCACATAGAAACACCCAGGGAGGTCCATCCCAAGATTACAATGGGTCCGGCGAGGCTAGGACGCTGTGTTTAAAAGAATCCCCCACCCCCCAGGGGATTCTCTTCTGCAGGCAGGATGCACATCTCACCCGCTGGGGCAGCCTGCGGTCTGGGTCGGTGGCGCTCTGGGCTCCCTCCAGCTCGGGCCCCTCCTTCCCTTCTCCCCACCTTCAGTTCTCCAGTGTGGCCAACTGATTATCCACCTTTTCCTTTAAAAATCATTTCATTTTGGACTGTGGAAGCAATGCACGTCCACTGTAGCAAATGATGGAAACAGAGAAAAGCACCAGGGAGAAAGTCAATGTTTTACATTTTTTCCAGCCCGTGGTTTCTGACTCTGTTGCAGCTTTCGGCCTCTGCAGGTTACAAACATGACTCGGCTCCAGCTCGTCTTCCTTTGGTGTGAGCATCTGTGCCAGGGGCGGGGTGAGTTATTCTTCTGACTTCTATAGCTTCGTCCTTTTGTAGCTGAACAAACATTTATTGAGCACTTACTGTATGCTGGGCACTATGCAGGGCCACAGAGACCCAAGATCTCAGCGCAATCCTCGGTCCAGTCCAGGAGGAGCAGGAGGCGCAAGGCCCTTGGAGGGCTCGTTTTCAGGGCCTTATCCACAGACTCTGGTGCCTTTTCCCCCTTTCTTTTCATTTTCCTGGAGATCAGTGTGCTGGTCTTCAATGTTATGGCTGAGTGTTCTTTGCTTCGGATAATTTTCTAGGCTTTCACAGAATGTGAGGGAGGCTGTTACGGCTCCTGCTGCTGCTCCCACACCTCCTCCCCCCAACAGATCCCAAGAAAAGCTGCCTTTCTCAGCGTGGTGATGTGGGGACCTGGGGCACCTCCGCCCCTCTCTGCTCCTGACCTCAAGTCACTCCTCTCCCCTCCCAGGAGGGGCAGCCCTGGGGCAAGGGGTGGGTCTGGCCCTGCAAGGGGCCTTCGATGGAAAGTTGTCTTTCTGTTCAGCCCTATTACCGCTGCTCTCAGCAGAGCTGCAAGAACTGGCCCAGTGGTGCCCAAACCTCACACACCAGCCTCGGATCAACTCAGGGCTGACTCGCCAAGCCAAGGGCTCCATCTCCAGTGACTTCCTGAACCATCCACTCACACAGAGGCACTGAGTGCCATGAGGGCACGTGTGACTCGGCCTCCACTGCAGTTACGGCCCAGATGAGGGAGAGGCAGACACATACTCAGTGTGGCCAGGGTTTGCACAGGCTTTGAGAAGTGAGAGGAGAATCCAGAGAGACTTCCTGGAGGAGACGGCATCTGAACTTGGGATTGAGGGAAGAGAAGAGGTGAGGGGGAAGGGCAATCCAGACAGACGGACTGAGCAAGGAGGGAGTGAGCAAAGTGCCTCCAGCCCCACAGGACATGGGGCAAAGCACAGCAGAAACTGGGGGCCATGGGGGATCGGCTGTGGGGGAAGCAGCAGATTCATGCTGTGAGGAAGGGGAGGTCATTGGGCAGAGTCCTGGTAGGGCTGAGGCCCAGGACTAGGAGTCTGATGGGGTGTGGAAGATTCCAGGGATGTGGCCAAGAAACTAGTGGCAGGAACAGGGACGGTGAGGGCAGAAGGGGCAGGAGCCAGGGCAGTGGCGGAGGCTGGGTGCAGGGTCCCGGTGGTGGCCAGGGTGGTGGGAGGGGGGCTGTGTCTGCCTTGGGATCATGGTGCCTGGCAGGCGCTGCCTGTTACATGGCGTGAGAAGGCCGGGCTGTGTCTGGACCACAGTCTGGGTGGCTGGAGCAGGATGTTGGGAGAAGTGGGTGGGGGACAGAGAGAAGGCAGGAAAGGCCATCAGGGCACCTCAGGAGGTCCCCAGCAGCAGCAAGGTCCAGCTCCCTGGGGAAAGATAGTCATGGTGGTCCCGAGATGGAACTTCCTGAGGTTATTTTTGAGAAGTGACTGAGGCTTGGAAGGTGGAGATGATGGAGCCGCTGGTGGAAGCTGGACGGTGGTTCTGGACAGAGGCCTGGCGGCTGCCTGTGCATTACTCCACCAAGGCCCTGACCTGGCCATGGATGCGGGGTAGGTGACCCAGCGAACATTTTCTTTTAAAAGCCACACACAGGCCTAAGTGTCGTAAGGTGTCGTAAGGTGTAACTAGGACTGTTGGCCACGAGGAGGGAAATATTAAAAGAGAGGCTGGCTTCCTCCCCTGGTGTTCCCAAGGAGCTTGGCACTTGTCTTCAGGGCCACACGTGAGCCACTGGCTGTCCTTTCCTTGGTTAGAGGGGGCGCCCGGGGCACAGGCAGGGACTGGCGCGTGGGCCCTCAAAGGATGCTCCTGCTGAGTGGCCGCATCGTCCTTTTACCCGAGTGTCCTTTTCTATCCCAGGAGGACGCAGGGCCCGAGAGGGTTCTGTGTCGAAGTGCAGGTTGGCAGGATGTCGTGGGTGTGTTCGTCTGTGCATGGGGAGAGCTCCACGGGCTGGGGTGCTGACGGTCACCATTCCCTTTGTGCTGTAATGAGTGACCCCACTGGTCACAGCTGCACAGTCTCCGCAACAGTGTAGAAGTGGCCATACAGAATTCTTTTCATTTTTCAAAATGAGGACAAAAGATCACAGCGTGCTGTGGAAATGGCACACACAGGATGCCCCAAGTGCTGAGGGAGGTCGTGGAACGCCGGGTGGGAAACCATCCCATCCCCGTGGAAACCTGCTCCCTGGGGGTCCTTTGCCACCACAGCCTCACAGAGGAGTCACCTTCGAGACAATGCACCAGAGCAGCTGCTCGAGTCCCTTCTGGAAGGAAAGAGGCAGCTTCACAGAGGGGAGCCCGGGTGAACCCTGCATGGGCGTTGACACGGGCCCAGGACCAACCCAGGGAGGCCGTGCACTCCGGCCTGGAGGGAAGGCCAAGAGACCACAGGGTCCTTTGGCCCTGAGAGGCCACCCAGACCTCCCCATCAGCAGGACCCTTTGTGGCCCTGAGGATTGGAAAGGCCAGCGGGAGGCCCGAGGCCCCGTGGGAAGCAAAGTGCAGGGCATCAGGTGAGTGCCCAGGGGGGCGGATGGCACCCTCTGCCCGCAGCGACCCAATGCAGAGATGCCTGCTGCGGGGGAGGAAAGCTCTTCCCGCCTACTGGGAGGCCCAGCACCCCCAAAATGACCCAGCTCAGAAGGCCCAGCACATCTGAGGTCTCAAGAGTGGGGTCTCGGTCCTCTGCACCCCACACGCCACCTCCTCTTCTCCCTCTCCCGTCCCCCTCCTGGGGCTGCGTGGGGAGAGGTGCTGTGGGCCGATCTGTGTCCCTCCCCGCCAAAATTCTAATGTCGAAGTCCCAACCCCCAGTACCTCAGGATGTGACTGTATTTGGAGATGGGTCTTTAATGAGGTAATTAAGTTAAAGTGAGGTCACCAGAGGAGGCCCTAATCCAATGTGACCGGTGTCCTTATGACAAGAGATTAGGACACAGAGGTACAAAGGGACGACCACGTGACAAACCTCACCTCAGCAGAAATTTGATGAATGCCCGAGAAGCCTCCTACAGATCGTCATGTTCTAAACACAAGGCCGGTGGGGAAGCACTGTGGATCCCCCACTTTGAGAACCCGAGGCCATGGACATACACCCCTGTCATCTCTGTCCAATCAGCAGGGGCCCAAGTGGGAAAGGGAGGAAGTGGCACCTTCTGTCCCTTGAGCAGGGCACTCACGGCTTGGTGGTGACCCCGATGAAGAACTGAATCACACCCTGATCCTCCTTCCTAGAAGAGGCCGGGGTGGCTCTGGGGTGCCGCGTGAGGGGCAGGAGCTGAGCCAGCGGGTGGGGGCCCCACGCGCTTACCTTCCCGCCTCCAGGCTGGTGCTTCAGGTTCTCGGTGGAGCCGATCTTGGACCTGACGTTCTTCAGGTCCGGCATGGGCACGGGGGCGGTCTGCAGGCGGCTCTTGGCTGAAGACGGCGACTTGGGTGGAGTACGGACCACTGCCACCTTCTTGGGCTCCCGGGCGGGCGGGGTTGGCAGGGACGGGGTGCGGGAACGGCTGCCTGGAGTGCCCGGGGAGCCGGGGCTGCTGTAGCCGCTGCGATCCCCCGATTTTGCTGGCTCGNGAAGGTGGAGATGATGGAGCCGCTGGTGGAAGCTGGACGGTGGTTCTGGACAGAGGCCTGGTGGCTGCCTGTGCATTACTCCACCAAGGCCCTGACCTGGCCATGGGTGCGGGGTAGGTGACCCAGCGAACATTTTCTTTTAAGAGCCACACACAGGCCTAAGTGTCGTAAGGTGTCGTAAGGTGTAACTAGGACTGTTGGCCACGAGGAGGGAGATATTAAAAGAGAGGCTGGCTTCCTCCCCTGGTGTTCCCAAGGAGCTTGGCACTTGTCTTCAGGGCCACACGTGAGCCACTGGCTGTCCTTTCCTTGGTTAGAGGGGGCGCCCGGGGCACAGGCAGGGACTGGCGCGTGGGCCCTCAAAGGATGCTCCTGCTGAGTGGCCGCATCGTCCTTTTACCCGAGTGTCCTTTTCTATCCCAGGAGGACGCAGGGCCCGAGAGGGTTCTGTGTCGAAGTGCAGGTTGGCAGGATGTCGTGGGTGTGTTCGTCTGTGCATGGGGAGAGCTCCACGGGCTGGGGTGCTGACGGTCACCATTCCCTTTGTGCTGTAATGAGTGACCCCACTGGTCACAGCTGCACAGTCTCCGCAACAGTGTAGAAGTGGCCATACAGAATTCTTTTCATTTTTCAAAATGAGGACAAAAGATCACAGCGTGCTGTGGAAATGGCACACACAGGATGCCCCAAGTGCTGAGGGAGGTCGTGGAACGCCGGGTGGGAAACCATCCCATCCCCGTGGAAACCTGCTCCCTGGGGGTCCTTTGCCACCACAGCCTCACAGAGGAGTCACCTTCGAGACAATGCACCAGAGCAGCTGCTCGAGTCCCTTCTGGAAGGAAAGAGGCAGCTTCACAGAGGGGAGCCCGGGTGAACCCTGCATGGGCGTTGACACGGGCCCAGGACCAACCCAGGGAGGCCGTGCACTCCGGCCTGGAGGGAAGGCCAAGAGACCACAGGGTCCTTTGGCCCTGAGAGGCCACCCAGACCTCCCCATCAGCAGGACCCTTTGTGGCCCTGAGGATTGGAAAGGCCAGCGGGAGGCCCGAGGCCCCGTGGGAAGCAAAGTGCAGGGCATCAGGTGAGTGCCCAGGGGGGCGGATGGCACCCTCTGCCCGCAGCGACCCAATGCAGAGATGCCTGCTGCGGGGGAGGAAAGCTCTTCCCGCCTACTGGGAGGCCCAGCACCCCCAAAATGACCCAGCTCAGAAGGCCCAGCACATCTGAGGTCTCAAGAGTGGGGTCTCGGTCCTCTGCACCCCACACGCCACCTCCTCTTCTCCCTCTCCCGTCCCCCTCCTGGGGCTGCGTGGGGAGAGGTGCTGTGGGCCGATCTGTGTCCCTCCCCGCCAAAATTCTAATGTCGAAGTCCCAACCCCCAGTACCTCAGGATGTGACTGTATTTGGAGATGGGTCTTTAATGAGGTAATTAAGTTAAAGTGAGGTCACCAGAGGAGGCCCTAATCCAATGTGACCGGTGTCCTTATGACAAGAGATTAGGACACAGAGGTACAAAGGGACGACCACGTGAGGACACACACGTCTACCAGCCAAGGAGGGAGGCCCAGAAGCAACCAACCAGGCGGACACTTTGATCTTGGACTTGTGGCCTCCAGAGCTGCGAGGAAACACCCTTCTGTCAACTGTGGTCCCCTGTGTGTCGACCCTAACGAGGGGGGACAGGGACAAGGGGAGGAGGCAGGGGTCCAACCCTGTCTCTCTCCACGTCAGGCACTCGGAAGCTCATGTTTCTCCACCTTTAGGAATCCCAAAGATGTCAGGAGTGCCCATTGGCCCCCAAAAAGTCGGTTGTTCAAAATGGAACCCCCGGGCTGGCCCGGTGGCGCACTGGATAGTGTGCCGCTTGGGAAGCG